TTGATCACTGGACCTGGAGCCACAGACAGTTGTGAGTCTCCCAACTGGGAGTGGGTGCTGGGAACTGAACTTGGATCCTCGGAAGGAGCAATAAGTGTTCTCAGCCCTGAGCTACCTGCCCAGCCCCAAAAGTACACATTCTGATAGAAAGACAGTAGTGATAAATTGTTATATTCTGAAAAGGAGGAGAAGGAGGAGGAGGAAGAGGAGGAGGAGGAGGAGGAGGAGGAGGAGGAGGAGGAGGAGGAGGAGAAGAAGAAGAAGAAGAAGAAGAAGAAGAAGAAGAAGAAGAAGAAGAAGAACCAAGCAAAACTCTTAGAAATGAAGAGCAAATCCAATAAAAATATAGCTGAGTGTCAGGGGTGGCAGCGCACACCTTTGGTGCCAGCAATCGGGGGCAGAGGCAGGGGGATCCCTGTGAGTTTCCAACCAACCAAGGTTACACGGTGAGACCCTGATTTTAGGAAAGCAGGGAGCCCGGCTGCTGAGGAGTGCTTCCTGCCCTGCACAGGACCCAGATTTAGCTCTCAGAGCCACATGGTGACTCCCAAGGAAACCAGGGCAAAAAAAAAACAAAGGGCAGAAAGGCTGACAAGGAGAAATGGGCACCTCTGAGGCCATTAAACCTGAGGGAACCTGTGGCCGGCAGACAGCCTCATAAGGGATTTTTAAAGGAGGCTCACAACTCGCCCTGAAAGCTGGGTGTGAGCTGGGCTATGCCAGGTCTGCTGCTGGAGCTTTTCTGTTTCTCTTCTGGATGTCCTCTCCTGAAGTATTTACCCCTCCACAGGCATTCGTGATGGTGACCTTTCTTTGATTTCTGGGTGTAAGGTTAGTTGTTTTTGTTTGTTTTGAAAGAAGACATGGAATTGGGAGGGAACGAGCTAAGGGGCCGCCAGGGGGAGCTGGAGGGAGAAGTGAGTGATGAATGCAATCAATACACACTGGTGCACGTGTGAAATTCCCAAAGGATAGTAATACACTTAAAAGTCACTTCTGGGTTTGATTTGGTAAGACCCAGCTTCTTACTATAAGGGCAATTAAAAAAAAAAAAAAGACAGGGAAGCAAATTCTAACATTTGAAAATTAAGAAATACGCCTGTAAACTTCTGGGGTGACAAAGAACCAAGAGAAAAATTTAAAGTATGTTTAATTTTTGCCGTTATTGTTACTGTGTGTGAGCACAGGAATACTTGGGGCATTGTCCAGTCTCAAAAGTCCTGTCAGCTCCAACAGAAAGTCAGTGGACATTACCCTACTCCTTCTAGCCTACATTGTGACCACAGATGACCCTGGTCCAGACAATCCATGTGAGTGAAATACAGCATCTGTCCTTTAAGGCCTGGGTCACCTCACTTAGCATGATGCTACAGAGTTCAGCTGTAGTATAGCATTGATAGAATTATGTTCCTTTTAGCGCCAAATAACACTCCACTGTGTTCACGGTGAATTTGGCTGGAAGCGCACAGCTGCTCTGAGGGATGCCCAGAGGAGGGGGAGAGGGCGTGGAGGGGCCACGGGCGTCCGCGGAGGGCACCCGCACCAACCGGCCCGTGGGTTCCCTCTCCCTCGTCTCGGCCCTGGCCGGTGTGGACTCCACTCCCCGGCTCCTCCCTGCCCGAGAAGCGGTTCCTGCTGGAGATGGAGCTGCTGCGGCGTTAGCCCTCCGCTCTGCAGTGTGAACCGAGCAGAGCCGTGACATCCGGCAGAGGGCAGCCGAGAGCCAGGCGCCGGGCGGGCACGGGGCCGCCGGCGGGCACTTAGGCCCTCTCCTCCCCCGTGCTTCATCTGCAGGACGGATCTCAGAACTCCAGTCCCGCTGAGATACTTCCGAGGATTGATAGGTTTGCGTGTGTGCGGGCGCGTGCTCGTCTGCACGCGCGCGGCACTCCGGGGCGTCCTACCCGGCACGGAACATCTTGGTATTTCTGCCCTCCTCGTGAAACCCAAAAGCACAGACAACGCCCCAGGCGCGGGCACCCAAGCTGGAGAGGGTGGAGATGCACACTGAAGGCGCGAAGGATGGCTGAGGAGGCAGGCAGGAGGCGCCTCTCCGGCTCCAAGCGTCCGCCTCTCCCCGCCCACGTCTGGGTGCCGCCCCTACTCTCGGCGGCCACCGCGGCTGCCCCCGGCCTCGGGGCCTTTTCAAATGCCGCTCCTGCCGCCCACGGCTCTCCTCGCCACGGACACCTGAGGGGCTGCGCCCTCTGCTGACGCCCCGACGCCCCCGGCCCCACACACTCGGGTCGCAGAAGCTGCTGTCGGCCGGGCCTCGAGCGGCGAGGGACGAGGACGCAACGTCCAGCCCCTTCGTGCCAGGCAGGGCGGTGGTTCAGTTCCTCGGGCAGTCCTGGAGGGGGGGGGAGCACCCAGCTACTCTCCTCCCAGTGGGGGTATCACCCAGCCACCCTCCTCCTGGCTGAACACGGCCCAGCCAGGCCTTTGGGGCACCCACACAGGGAAAATAAGAAACAAAGGCAGGAGGAAACGCCACCCCACGATATGGCACACACAACAGACTGCAGACGCTCCCCTGCCACAGGCTCCCATGGCGGGACGGCTCGGCCCAGGGGTGGCCCAGTGCCCTACACCCCACAGATCAGCCGCCAGGGTCCGGGGCAGAGGGCCCGCGGAGGCTCCACCCAGCCTGTTCGCCGACAGGATCTTCCCACTGCCGAACCTCAGCCTAGCAGGCCCAACAGACGCGGCCCGAGTCTCCCAAGTCCAAGACAGCTCTCCCTAAAGCCAGGCCACCTCCAGCCCCGAGGTCTGGGGCCCGCCCATCCTCATCATATCACCCTCACGTGAGCCCAGCTGGCGGCGCAGGCCTGGCATCCACTCAGGAGGCCGAGGCAAGCGGCGACGAGTTCAAGGCCAGCTTGAGCTGCCCGGTGAAGCCCTGTCCCCCAGACTGAGCTGGCAGAGTGCTTGCCTACCACGCACAAAACTCGGGGCTCGCCCCCCGGCACCCCATACTCAGCGTGCTGGCACCTGCCTGTCAGCCCAGTGCTCAGGAAGCGAAGGCAGGAGGATCAGAAGTTCAAGGTCATCTTTGGCCCTGCAGCGTCTTTGAGGCTACCCTGGGGTACATGAGACCCTGTCTCAAAAGCAAATAAAAGAAGGGTGGGGGCTGGGGAGGAGGCCCGGGGGTTCCGTTCCCAGCGCCTTCGAGATCTTCCCAGTCCTCCTCCTAAGTCTACCTTCCCCTTTTAGCACCCGCAGAAACCGCGGGGCAGGGGGCTGCGAGGACGAGCCGCCGGGGGCAACCGGCTAAGTCTGCGAGCACAGCCAACAGCAGCCCAAGCAGGGGCCTCACGTAACTGAAGAGGCGAGAGCCAGGACGTGTTCTGGAGGAGGGTGGGATCCGGGGCCCAGAGGCTGAGGGCACCAGGGACGTGCAAGGCGGCCCTGCGCAGGAGACTGAGCCCGCCTTTGCTGGGGCAGTGGCGCCACCGTGTGGTCGCAGGTTAGCACTGCATCTTCTCCCAAGAATTCCGGCAACCTTTGCCAGCCAGTTCCCCGTGTACCGGACACCCCCGTGGGCGACTTTTCAATACCAAACCAAACAATGCCGACCATAAAATACATATAAGCCAAAAGTGTCTTAGACGTTTGCGCAATGACAGGCATCATTATCCGATAACAAGTGAATGTTAATACAACTGAAATACTGGGGGGAAAAAAAAGTACCATTTCCCAGCAGCCACTAAATCCTACCGCTGAGGAAACTGTTTTCTTGCTTTACTTGTTTCGAAGAAATGAAAAGGGCTGTTTAAGCTTTAACCTTGGTTATGAATGAGTAACACAGCTTCCGAACGCACTAATAAGATCATCTTCTAATAACAGACATGGCACCTCCCTGTTCTCAAGGCGCCGCCGAGGGGTTTTTTGCTTGGTTTTTGGAGCGTTTTGCCTGTCTGGAAGGCGTTGTTGAGACAGGGTCTCAGCCTGGAACCCAGGCTCACGTGCAACTTCTGATCTCTAACCCCTAAGTGCTAGGATAACAGGCTCGTGCCTCCACACCCAGGTTGTTTAAATCTAAAACACAACTGGGGGGAGGGGCAGAGAAACGGCGCGGAGGTTTGAGTGCTTACTGCCCTTCTAGAGGACGTGAGTTCGAGTCCCAGCGCCAAGGTCAGGCGTCCACACAACCACCTGTAATTCCAGCCCCAGGGAACCCCTCACCCTCTGCTGGCCTTCCCAGGCACCTGAAAGCACGTGCGACCTTTCCCGGAAGACACACACACACACACACACACACACACACAACAGTTAATCAAAGTTAGCTCGGTGCCAGACTAACCGCGTCGTCTCAGCGTCAGTTCCTGCCCGGACACTGCTCACACGTCAAGGCTCGGGGCCTCCTTGCTCCTCTCAACCCGGTTCAACAACTCTTCTCCTGTGACCCCCAGAACACTTCCACGGGCCTTCCAGGGCGCCTGTCCTCCCACCCCGGAGAAAAACAAAGCTTACCTTCCCGGAATCCGCGCAAATCTCACCTCTCACTGGCTCTGAGCCTGATTCGCTCGCCCCCTCCCTCCAAAACAATTCCGTCACTCTGGCTGAGGGAAGGAGGCCCTGGGGGAGGGCACAGGCGGAACCACTACAATCCTGGCCCCATTCGCCCTCACCTGTTGGGGAAACTGAGGCAGCTAGACTTGGGGAGTTCTCAGTGGGGCTGAACTGGCTCGTGGGAGAGCAAGCGATAAACTGGACGCTGTCTGTGAGTGCCCGGCCCAGGGAGGCCTGGGTGTGAGGGCCGGCTGAGGAAACCTGTTTCAGCTGGCTGGAGAGGGCAGGACCTCCGTCAGCCTCTCCAGGTGATGGTGGTAGGCAGTCCGCTTGGGGATGCCGAGGCCCTGACGCACACAGCCCCCGCCTCCATTGCCCAGTTTGCCAGGGGACCTCGTGTACCTGAGGATAAAGCTGCGGCAGGGGCTAACTCTCCGGTGACCAGCCCCGCCCGAGCCCCCGCCCCGGCCCAGAAAAGCTGCGGACACTCGAGCAAAGAGCGGTTTATTCCAGTGACAGCGGCCCCTGCGGGACTTCCGCTCGGAAGCAGAGCAGACGAGACCTCCCCGCACACGGCCTCTCCGCCCGGGGCCTCGGGACGCCGAGCCTCGCCGCGGCAGCCCCAGCCCACGCGGGAAGGACGCGGCGGGGACCGTCTGAGCGCCGTGGGCCTGAGGTCTGGAGCTCCAGGGCGCGGGGCCTCCTGGCCCGGGGGGTGTGGAGAGCCGGGGGGGCTGCTCAGCCGCACGCAGCCTCGGCCGCCTGCTCACTCGCCGGCGACGGGCCCTCGGCCCGGCTGGCCTGGCTGTAGTAGTAGCTGCGCATGCGCTGTTCCACGGACAGGAAGTCCGGGCGGTCCTCCCACCTGCGGGGGAGACCCCAGCCGGGCTCAGCGGAAGGGCGTCCGGGGTGGCGCGGGGTGACCGGGGTCCCGCAGCGGCCCCCACCCCCACCCCTTAGACGCCGGGTGTTGGCTGACAGTGGTTGGCCTGAGCGGCAGGATCCGCGCTCGCCCCGCCTGCACGGAGCCAGCCAGGATGGGATGTCGCCCGGGGGACCGTGAAAAGGGTGGCACGCTGGGAGAGCCGCGGCGACCTGAAACTCACTTGTAGGTCCAGCAGTCGCTCATGAGCGCGTACATCTCGGCCGGACACTCGGGCGGGCATTCCATCCTCTTGCCCTGCTTGATGAAGTCCAGGACCTCGGGGCCCTTCATCTTCTGCCCAGGCGGGGCGCAGGCGCGTGTGAGGAGCAGGGACCTTCCCGTCGCCCCCCCCCCCCCCCCGCGCACACAGCCCGCCGCCCCGAACCCCGCCCCGCCCACCTTGTAGGGCTTCTGGCCGTAGGAGAAGGCCTCCCACATGGTGACCCCGTAGCTCCAGACGTCGCTGCGGCTGGAGAACTTCCGGAAGTTGATGCACTCCGGCGCGTACCACTTCAGGGGCCACTTCCCCGCCGACCGGGCCTGAGGGGGCAGGCGTGCGTGCTAGCACGGGGCCCAGGACCCTCCCCGCCCTGCCCGGCCCGGGCGCCGCCATCGCCACGCACCGTGTAGTAGCTGTCGTCGGCGCCCAGCGCCTTGGACAGGCCGAAGTCGCTGATCTTGGCGTAGTGCCGGTTCACCAGCAGGACGTTCCGCGCTGCCAGGTCCCGGTGCACGAAGTTCTTCTCCTCCAGATACCGCATGCCCATGGCCACCTGGTGCAGCAGCTCCGCCACGTTGCTGACGGGGATCTCCTCCCTGGGGCCGGGACACGGCAGGGTCAGCCTCCCCTGGGCACGCGTGCAGCCCGGAGGGGGCTGGCCGAGCGCCCACGGGAGCCCTGGGCACAGATCCTACGGTCACCGCCGTGGTGCACATTGGGGAAACTGAGTCAGCGGCTCTGCTTTGCAGTATGAGTGTGGGCATAAGAGTGCACGGAGGGCAGGCATTTCCAGGAAGGAGAAAAGGCAAGTAGTGTGCGTGCGTGTGTGTGTGTGTGTGTGTGTGTGTGTCTGTGCCCCCCGCCCCCCACCCCCCTGTGAGCAGCCCCCAGGCTCACCTCTTTCCCACCAGGAACTTGTGCAGCGGCCCGCCGCCCGCCATCTCCATGACCAGCATGAGCGCCTCGGCCTGGCACACGCCGATGAGCCTCACGATGTAGGGGTTGTCCAGCTGGTGCATGATCTGCGCCTCCCGCATCATCTCGTCCTTGTCGGCCTTTTCCGTGCTCTGCTTCAGCACCTTGATGGCCACGTCGATCTGCTTCCTGCTCGGGGGCGTGGCCACACGCGCAATGCAGGTGCCGCCCGGGGAAGCCGCAAGTGACCCGCTCCCAGGGATGCCAGGGACCGCCTCAGCTAAGGACCCGGTCCCGGGGAACGCCTACCCGCGTAACCATGGGTCAACCCAGGGAACAGGGAAGCCCCTCCGCGGCAACTTCAGTGTGGCCCTGCCCTCCCCAGCACAGGCCACACCCCCAATGCCAGTTCGGTGTAGCCACGCCCTCCCCATCATGGGCCACGCCCCCTCGAGTCTCCAGGCTTTCCAGACACCCCCCCCCAAAACAAGGTGTTGTGATACAGAGGCCCCTGCTGCCGCTGCCACCCGACCCACAAGTGGCCAGCCATACTTGCGCATCCGGTAGACTCCTTGGCGCACGGAGCCGAAGTTGCCGCAGCCAAGTTCGATATCGGCCACCAGGAGGTTCTCTCGCTTCAGGAAGAGCTTCTTGTCCTTGAGTTCCTCAGGGTCGCTGTAGGGACTCTCGTACACGCTGGTGTCCATGGGCGTCGGCCGCGGCTTCTCTGAGGATGCTATGCGCGCTGGGCATACACACAGCCGTTCGCTCCAGGTCAGGAAAGGGTGGGGACGGGAGAGGGGAAGGAGGGGAAGGGGCATGGAGGGGAAGGAAGTGCTCAGCACCAGACGCGTGGCCACAGGCCTTGAGCGACCCACCCCCACATGGCAGCATGCACCAGGACACACAGGCAAGCATGAGGGCTGTGTAGGGGGCAGGCTCCTGGCAATGGCTCTGGCCTTGTCATCTCTTGATAAGCCCCACAGTCCAGCCAGGGTCCCTGCTTTCATCTGGGCCTGGGCTCCCCCAAACCTCTGCAAACTCACCTGGTTCAGGGGTGTATCCATCTGCGTTCAGGGTGTCAACACGTCTCTGAGGCTAAAGATCAGGGTCAGCAGCAGTCAGCCAGACCCAGCCCTCTTATGAGACCTATGCCTGCTGAGGACACCCCGGCCACTGTCGCTGCCACCCGACCTCCCTCAAGTCACCCACCCAATGCCCACGTCTCAACTCTGACGTGCCGCTGACTCACCTGAGTGAATGTGGAAGGGTGGGCTGGAAGTGTGGGTGCAGCAGCTGTTGGGGAGCAGAAGGAACAGTGAGCACGGGAGCCGGGCCTCCTGCGCGCTGGCCTGCCTCCTGCGCGCTGGCCTGCCTCCTGCCTGCTGGCCTGCCTCCTGCCTCTGCCCCCCTCACCTGCAGTGCTGGCACTGCTGTTGGGGCAGGCCTCCTTCAAGCGGTAAATGAGCCCATCCGCCTTGAGCTTCAGGTACTCCACCAGCTGTGGAAAGGGGCGTCAGTGGAGCCTTCACCCTCCCCCAGAAGCTGAGCGCCCCATCACAGGGTTCTCCTCAGAACATGGGCGGCCTTACCTGCCAGAGCGTGTCAAACTTGGTGCCTTCGGGAATGCAGTACTTGCCAGCCTTATCCTGGCTGATGAGATAGTGGTATACAGTTTTCCCATAGATCAGGGACAGCGCATATGTGCCCTGCTCCTTCCGGGGCCTCAGCCTGGGGGGGGGGGAAGGGTGTCACCCCACAGCAACACGAGGGCACTCCTGTGCCTCAGTTCCCTCTACTAACACATATGCTATGGGCAAAGATAAAATAGAGGGTATGGACCAAATAAGCAAGGAACATGAAAAAAATTAAACACAGGATATTTGAGACACCATGAAAAAAACAAACAAACCTTAGAATTAGAGAAGAATCCCAAGCCAATGGCAAAGATGAGATCTTCGACAAGATCATAGAAGAAAACATCCCCAAACTAAAAAAAGATACATGCACACAGATACAGGGAATACAAAGAACACCAAACAGACAAGACCAGAAAAGAAAGTTCCCACGGCAGCTCAAAGTTAAAACATAACAAAGAAAGTGCAGTGAAAAGTACAGAAGAAGAAACACAAGTCACATATAAAGGAAAAATATCAAAATAAGAGCTGGTTTCCCAATGAAAACTTTGAAAGCCAGAAGAGCCTGGAGCAATGCATGCCATGTCCTAAAGCACTATGACTCCCAACCTAAAATATACCCAGCAAAACTATCCACCATGATTGACAAAGAAAAGCTTCCTGCCTCATAAACAGCATACAGAAAAGAAAACCTTATTTGAGGCTAAAGAGAGGAATGAGCATAGAAGAAAAACTGTGGAAAGAGATACAAAGTCATAATTATGAAACACAAAATACCACTGAGAACACAAGCAACACCAAAGCTCAACAACACAACAGCCACAATTAATACATTTCAGCAATTTTAAATATAATTCTCCAATCAAAAGACACAGAATGACGATGGATCAAGAAACGAAATCCATCTATCTGTTGCCTTCAAGAAATACATCTTAATTTTAAAGATAGGCACCACCTTAGAACAAAAGGGTGGACAAAAGGACTCCAACCAAATGGGGCCAGGAAGCACGCAGACATTTCTATCCTTGGTGTCTGATGATAAGGGTCGGCTCTCCATCCAAAGCTGCCCTTACCTAACTGTCCAGGAATCTGGCTCTTCATAGTTTTTCTTAGTCTCTTGACCTTCCCCATATGAGCCCCTGTCCCTCATAATGCCGCTGTTTAACTGTGTCTCTGCCAGTCCCAATCCTGGCCCCTCAACCCCACCTCCCCACCATGCTCCCCCACAGTGCTGGTCCTACAAGCCAGTTTGATTCACCTGTTGACTCTGTTTCTCTTAAGATTTCTCCTGTCTCAGTTTTACAAACAACTTCTGTTGTGTAAAAAGTTTGCAAACCTCACCTTTGGACAGTAGAATTCTGCTCAAGAGCAAGCCAGCCTCTGCTATTGGAGGCCACTCGTGCTGGCTAGTTTGATGTCACCTTGACACAAGCTACAGTCATCTGAGAGGAGGGGCCTCAGTTAACAAGATGCCTCCATGAGGCCCGGCTGTAGGAGGTCTGTAGAGCCTTTTCTTAATGACTGAGGGGGAATGGCCCATTGCCATTCAGGTTCCATCCCTGGGATGGTGGTCCTGGGTTCTAGAAGAAAGCAGTCTGAGCAAGCCGGTAAGCGGCATTCCTTCATGGCTCCTGCCTCCAATCCCTGCCCACTTGGAGCCTTCCCTGACTCCCTTTGGTGGTGAACAGTAATGTGGAAGTGGAGGCCAAATAAACCCTTTCCTCCCCTGCTTTCGGCATGGTGTCTCATCACAGCAATAGAAACCCTGACTAGTTCACCCTTCCAACCTGCTGAACCGCAGCCGAGTTAACCCAAACAGACCTGCTCAGCTGGCTCGAAAAACTGTGAAATAAGGTGGGATTAGAATTAGTAAATTTGGGGACAGTTTGTTACACAGCAAAAGCTAACTGATACAAATGCAAAGGTTTAGGCAGGAGGTAGGACCTTAACCTAAGCTACTCAGAAACTGTCTTCTCTGGTTGGAGAGGTGGCTCAGCAGTTAGAGCACATACGGCTGTTTCAGAGGACCCCAGTTTGGTTCCCACTATAACTAACACTGTAGCTCTAGTGTCAGGCAGATCTGATGTCTCCTCACCTCCTCATGAACCTCTCACTGTGGGCATAACCATGCAGATATATATGCAGATACATGTATTTGCATATATTATATATACATATATTATACATATATTTGCATAATTAAAATAACACTTTTTAAATTTAAAAAATTTCTAGGTGAACATTACGTCTTTTAAAACTGTGGCGCTGGGACTAAACTCCGAGCCATGCGCATGCTCAGCGCACACTCTAGCACCAGGCTTATCCCCAGCCCAAGCACGTCATCTTTAACCAGCGTTTAAGAGACATCACAAGGCTGGCTGGGAATATGTCTCCGTGGTAGAGCACTTGCCCACAATAGGCAAAGTCAGGGGTTCAGTCCTCACAGTGAAGAATGGAAGAGGGGAAAACACCTCCCTCAAAAGCATTAGAAATATCCCTCCAATTTACAAACACTGTCAGGTAGGACAAAATATATTATATATTAAATATTATATATATATATGTGTGTGTATTTATACAAATTTTTAGAAGATCCGTTATTTTATTATTTTAATTTTTGTTTTCAATATATCCCAAGTCCAGCTTCCCCTCCCTTCATTCCTCCCATTTCCCCCACACCCCGCTTCCCCTCTCCTTGAGATCTACTTTATTAATTTTTTAATTGTGTTTGTGGGTAGTGGGTATGTGCCTGTGAGTGCAGGCGCCTATGGAAGCCAGAGGTGCTGGTCCCCCTGGGGCTACAGTTACTGGTGAACCAGGGTCATAGAGAGAGGCAGGCATCGACTCTCTCCACATCAGCATGGCTGGTATGTGGATAACATCTCTACACAAAACACACCCAATCGAGGAAGCAGCACCTGGCCCGGCTTTCAAATGCCCAGTGGGATTCTTAAAAGAGCTTCAGAGCGCCTCTGATCATAGCAAACTCACCACCAGTCGCATAACCGCAGCCGTAGCTCAGACACAGACACACAGTCACACAGTCACAGGAGGAACAAGCGCTGGCATCCAATGCCATCTTGCCCACGCTACTGCCTTACACATATTGATTCCCGAGGGCCTTTAGACAGGTCCCAGGCAGACACCGCTGACACCCCCGCCCCAAAGCAACAGTCTAAAAGCCAGGGCCAGCCCCTCGCTGATGGCGTCAGGCACATTGCCCTCAGTGCCTCTCCGTCATGCCCAGTCAGCGCCTGCCCTGGGCCCTTGCTCCTGCCAGCAGGCTTGCCAGCAGCACCTGGCACCTTCCCACCCAGCTCACCAAGCATTCACCATCCGATGGGGGTTTTATTCAGTGCCTGTCTCCTCGAGGTGGTCACCTCTGTCTAGTTCCCATCGTTGCCTGATAGCCAGGCCAAGTCCCACAGCCCGCAGATGGCAAACGCCAGGCTTTAGGCGAAAGCAGGCGCGCCAACTCTGGAGTCCTTCCAAGTCACCGTGAGGGTCTGTGTCAAAGTGCCTCTCTTTATGTGCCCACAGACACGGTCGCCCTCCGGGCCCACGAGCACACGCAGGCGTGCCCACCTGGCCCCCGGGATCGTAGCCGACAAGCCCCTGTGCCCCACATACAGGAACTTGCCGTCGGTCTGCTGGCCGGAATAGAGTTTGCGCTCGGCCTCCTCGCGGGTCAGGCTGCTGTGGTACCAGGGCATCCGCTCGTGGGCTGTGGTGGCGATGAGCTTCTCCACCTGTGGGGCCTGGCTGATGATGGCCTGCTCTAGCGCATCGCCCTGAGGAGGGGAAGGCGCGGTGGAGGCATGGCCAAGCGGACGGCCACCAGAGCCCGCCTGCATCAGGAACCCGCCCCACCCAGGCACCGCTAGGGTGCATCTGCCAGCTCGGAGGTCTCCTTTCTGTTCTGAGGCAGCGTGGCCAGGCCTCACCTTCTAGCCGGCAGCTTCAAGATCCTACACCGTCTCTCCCTCAGGCATGGCACATGCTGTGAACTACAGCCCGTAGTCCCTGTCGCCCCGCAGCAGGCCACAAGCCCGCCCCTCACGGTCCTCTCGGGAACCGAATAGCTCAGGAAGCACCTCCATCTTTCAGCATCTCACAGATGGCAGAGCACCACAGCATCATCAGGCTGCGCAAGACAAACTGCCACCATGGCCACCAAGCCCAGACCTACCCGTCCTATCCTGGGCTCAACCAAGGCCTCAGCGCTCTCCAGGCCTTGGAGCATCTTGCAGGCCAGAGAGGACGCAGCATCAGCTTCCTTGCGGACTACAAGCCTTCTCCTGCCTCCAGGCCCCGCCCACGTCCCGGGCCCGGCCACGCCCCCGGCCACGCCCTCACCTCCAGCTTCCAGGTCTGGCGCACGTAGTCGCGCACCATGGCGTCGCGCAGGCAGTCGAAGACCCCGGGCTGCGGCTCGAGGCCCGGCGGCCGGTTGCACGGCTTCCGCAGGTTGCAGGGCAGCCCGTCGGGGTCTTGCGAGTAGAACTGGCAGAGCTCGGCCGGGCCGCAGTGCGCCTTCCCGCCCGCGATGGCGTACGTGCCGTTGAGCTGCCGCTCGATGGGGAAGTGGTGGAAGCGCACGTCGTGCACCAGCGACAGCACGTAGCCGCCCAGCGAGCGCAGGCACTGGCGCAGCAGGAACAGCCCGTCGGCCATGCCCGCCAGCTTCAGGTGCTCCTCGGCCTCGGCGCGCGAGATGCTGCCGTAGAAGAAGGGCAGGTGCGCCGCGGGGTCGGGCATCGCCGGGCCCTGTGGGTGCGGAAGGCGTCGCAGGACGGTCAGGGCCCGCAGCCCTTCTCGAGCCCTGGGCCGTCGGGCCCGGAGAGAGCCCACGAGAATGGGCGTCCGTGAGGTGCAGCCCAGGGCGCCTCATCTTTGCGCCGGAGTCAGTTCTAGAGCGGAGCAGCCATGTCCTGGGCACCCACCCGGGTCTGAAGCCCACTTCTGAGTTTTAGAGACCCGTGCACAGAGCGTGCACACCCCCCAAGGCCTCTGCCTGAGCCGTCCCTTCATTTCCCAAACACACGTTGCTGTTTTCTGCATTTCCGGCCAGACGCTGAGGATATTATACATAAAATATTGCCATTCCCTGCCCTCTCGAAGGTCACACACACCTCATGAGGAGGCAGCAGTCAGTAGTGGGCTAGAAATGCCCATTGCCGTTACAGAATGAGGCCAGAATTTTTAAGAGTGATGTTAGAGAGAAAAGAGGTTCCCATAGCTAAAAGGACCATCTCCTGTGAGCCCAGGGCAGAAGGATGAGGAGAAACCAGCTCCTCAAAAAATGTGAGGGGAAGCCGGTTGGTGGTGTGACACACCTTTAATCCCAGCAGTTGGGAGGCAGAGGCAGGTGGATCTCGGAGTTCGGAGGAGGCAGCCTGTTCTACAGAGCGGGTTCCAGGACAACCAAGGCTACACAGAGAAAAGAAAAAACAGAACAACAAAAATCATGTGAACAAAACAAAACAAACGATGAGATCAGAGTGGAGAGTGTCAGGCAGAGCAAGGCTAACAGCTCCTCAGGGAGTCTTCCTGCTTCACAGTGGGTGCCCTCAGTCTCCGTGCCCTGTCTTCCTGGGCCGATTTCAGAAAGCATTAACTATTATGAGTATCCATCCATAGAGAGAGGGTTAAGAGCCAGGGTTGAGGTGGGGTCTCATGTGGTCCAGGTTGGCCTCAAACTTACTATGTTGCTGAGACTGTCTCAACTCCTGATCCTCCTGCCTCCACATCCCACGTACTGGGATTATAAACTTGCGACAAAACAGCAGGCTTAAACGAGGCTGGCCTTGAACTTGTGATCTTCCTGTCTCATTCTCTTGAGCATTTTCATAACAGCATCGGTTCTGAATACGGTGTGTGGGTGTGAGTGTGGGTGTGTATTTCAAAACACCTGATGGAATACACACTGTTGGACTGGCTCTTGACCTGTAGAAGGGCATCTGCCTAACACGGAAAGGCCCAGGAAATGTGCCTCCCCAGGGAAACAAGAAGCAGAGCCCCGTGTTGCTCATGCCCCATGGTGATATGATCATCAGGGACTCAATATCCTTTCTGTGCCGTGTATATCTGCAAATCACGGGGAAACACCGTGTTATTTTGAAGGCTGCACAGTCCAGCCGGCGGGTGAATTCTCAAATACGGAATCTGTGAATAATGAAGGGGCAATCTGTGTGCTAAGTGGAGCAAGATGTGAGCTGTGGACCCAGGGGTGACCATGAGAAGACGAGTCATCCTTTCCATTCTCTCTGTTCTTGGTTTTGTGCAATGTTGGAAAAAATTAGTTCATCATAACAATTTCTTGTTATCTTCTGAAGGCCTCCTGGGCGTAAACTGTGACGAGGACTTAGTGTCCTTATACAAAGGCAACAGGCTTATATAAGGACAGCCTTGGTAACTGAGGAAGGCTGCATCTGCCAGGAGTGTCCAGGGATGGGATCAGACCAAGGCCTCTGTCTAGGCAGCCAGGGTTGCTGATCACAGAGTGTGAATGCAGGGTGGGAAGCCATGGGCTGGGACCCCACTCAGCACCCCCAACAGTTAGTGGCAAGCAATGATGAGAAACCCACATGATCGATGGTTCAGCCTTTGTGTTTCCACGTGGAGAAGGGTGCTGTCCAAACTGGCATGGTGATACCCACCCATGATCCCAGCACTTGGGAAGCTGAGGCAGAAGGATTGCGTTCCAGGCCAGTGGGCTACACAGTGAAGGCCAGATGAGGCCCTAGGAGAGCCGAGGGAGACCCTATCTCAGAAAGCGAAAAGTGAAAGGGAGGGAGAGGAGAGGAGGGCCCTTTCATGCTTTAACATTGCTTTATTTTATGAACATGAGTGTCTTGTGTACATGGATGTCTGTGCACATGTGCCTGGTGGTCTGGGAGAGCATAAGAGGATGGAAGTTATAGACAGTTATGAGTTTCCACGTGGTGGCTGGGAATTGAACCCAGGTCCTCTGGAAGAGCAGCCAGGGCCCTTAATCACTGAGCCATCACTCCAGCCTCAAGAGAACTTTTTCTTGAAGGGGGTCTTTTAAGAGAGCATTCCATGAGACTATTTGAAACAAGTCACCAAGTTTCAGGCTCCTTGATAAAAATGAAAGCTGATTCTTAAAAAAGGAAAGACCTCCATGGGAGTGTTATACCAGTTTTATTCATAACTGTCAAAAGTTGAAAGTGATGTAGAGAGAGGCAGGTGCCTGGGAGCGGATGGCGCAGCAGTCTGCCAAGCGAGCAAAGCAGACACAGTGGCTGCAAACAGGGTTCCTGTCAGAACTGTGGTAGAGAGCATGCCAGCAGCAGCGGATGGAGGACTCCAGGGGCCTGAAGGAATCGGGGAGCGCTCTACGGTGTGACAAAGGCAGCAGTCTTCCCACTGCGCACATTTGTCAGATCGGAGCTCTTCCATAGGGTGGTCTGAAGGCGTCACTGTATGTAAGCTACCTCCGTTTTTTAGAAACAAAGGTTTGGGAAAGCAGCTGGCGGGGGGGGGGGTTCGACATGTTCACACGCTCAGCAAGAACAGAAGCAGGAAAACATAATGGCCAAGTCGGCTTCACCCCTGTCTCTACCCGGCAGACTCCCACCCCACCTCTCACCCAGCCTGGCGTCCTGCTCCACCCCTCCCTACAACGCTGTCTACAGGCTGTGGGCAAGCACCTTGCTCCTCCAGGCCAGGTCCCCTGAGTAGTGGGCATCATGTCCCTCCCTTCTGTTTGGTCTCTGATATCTCTGGTCCTTACAAACTCGTGGCTTGGCCCCTTTGGCCCTGATACTTCCTATGTGCTTGTGTCTTCTCTCTCTCCTCTCTCCCTCTCTCTCCCCTCCCTCTCTCCCTCTCTCCCTCTCTC